TTTCAAAACTGAGTTAATTAGCTCAGCAATTTTGGCCAGAGTTTAGTTGGGCAAACTTTTAGACTGTCATGAACATAATCTTTTCAACTGATAATGAAATTTGCGCACACAACAAGTTTACACATTCCCACAGAACAAGACTTTGAAATACAGTTTTTCAGCTTATACAATTTCTTCATTACAGAAACATTGACAATATTCCCTCCACTGTTCAAACTTTAAGCAAATATTACGCTGTGTACTTATTTAGCTTAAGAAAGCATGTTTTCTTTTGTCGACTTGGCCTTCGAAGTTTCACATAAAGCAGAGTTTGCTCGCGAGATCGGTTATGTAATCGTGAAGCCTGTTGAAGTTGACCGGCTGGTCAAACATCGTGCCCTCCACAGGATGATACTTTTTCTCGTCCTGTTTGTTTAGGGCCCGATTTTTTAGCAAGGAGTCGAAATACGAGGATTGATAATGCAATGATGAGGAAAGCTATGGAAATGGATGTTGAATGGAGGAGAAAGTAGTCCATTATGAATGATGTAAGAATGTTAGAAATGAACAAGAAAGGTTTGGATCATTTTTGCATTGGCTCCTGTGTAGTTTTTATGAGAAAGGTTGAATGAATGCATATAGGTAATGCATTAGCCAATCAGTGTTGAAAAATGGGAAGGCCCGGCCCGGCCCGGCCCGGCCCGGCCCGACCGCCTAAGATAGGTAGCTACTATTCTAATCAACTAGTTTTTATAGTTTCTTTTGTGTTTGTAGGATTTTTCCATGTATCTAGTGTTTTCCATTTTTTATTTTTCATTTAGTTCCTTTGGGGGCATTGCAATTATTAGTTCAATCCCATCACTTCATAGGAACATTCAACGGTATGAGCGATGATTGGTGTGTATAAGCTGTCAAACGAAACGACCCGCTATTGAACTCACTTCAACTCATTAAAATAAAATTTATATGTAAATTTTATAGTTTGGCTAGATGATATTTGATAAAATTAATGAATGGAGCTCGGTTGACTTGTTTTGTTACAAGCGACTTGATAAAATATTTGAGTCTATTTCGAGTATAAGAAGCTCGAGCTCAATTCGACTCAGGGCTTATTAATTCCTCGTTGAAGACATGGGCCACCTACCAAGAAACAAGCCATGCCGTACTTGGGCCGTCCCGTCCAGTCCAGTCCAGAACACAAGCTCATCTCCAATAGCGTTGAAGGCTTTTTTGGTGGTTTATTTTCAGATTTTAGGGGTTTTTTTTCTTTGTTTCATACTTTTAGTTATTTATATGTTTTAGAATATTCTATTTTTCTGGTGTTTTTTTAAATTTATTTTGGAATTTACTTCTAGTTTTAACGGCATTTGTTTGTCGTTGATCCTATTCGTTTTCTAATATATTTCACATAAATTTTAGTTGATCATAATGTCTTTTAAATAATAATAATAATAATAATAATAATAATAATAATAAATTATAAATTGAACTGTTTATTTTAAAACCATGTCAACCTGTCTTAAATTTAATAATAATAATAAAACAAATTAAATATTGAACTAGGCCTGCATGTGCGTACATTTAACATACACCAAATTTTAAATTTTTGTTTCATTATCGACTAAATTTGGGTCAGCTGTGCGTGCACAAACAAAAGCCAAGTAGTAATTTATATAAATAAAGTTTAACACTCTCACGAGCATAGTAGGATCCATTTAAAAAGAGGTTTAATGTACAAAACCCTCCTGTATTATACTAAATCTACGCGTTTCCCCACTATATTTTAAAAATTGCGTCAGACCCCTTTTTATTAAGGTTATCAGGGGCACACGCTCTCTTGTCTCTATTTCTCTAAATCTACGCGTTTCTCCACTATATTTTAAAAATTGCGTCAGACCCCTTTTTATTAAGGTTTCAGGTGCACACGCTCTCTTGTCTCTATTAATCCGTTAACGGCATTAGTTTTTCTTCAAAAGTTCCGTTATACCCTCTGAATATTATACATATATTTACGATATATTGAATATATCGCGATAAATTGAATTAAAAGAATTGCAGCCCCTAGGATTCAAACCTGGTACCTCATGGAAGCAAGACAAGCAATGCAACCACTACACTACTCAAGGTTGAGTATTAGAACTAAGAATGTTTGATATATATGGACATTGTTATGGATAAGTGAAATTAAATTTAGAATATATAAATTATATTAAATTAAATTATTAAAATATAAAGTTATGATAATTCAAATATAATAAACTAAATTATATAAAATTAAATGAAAAAAATAATTTAAATAACTTATTATGTTAAACGAAAAAAAAAATAATTAAAATTAAATAAAAATAAATATAAAAAAAATTGTAGTTAAATAATAAATAAGATAATAATTAAGTAAATCTATATATTTATAAAATATTTTTAAAAATATTAAATAGTATAATATTAGTTAAAATAAATAAATACAAATCATATATAGCTATTTAATAAAAAAAGTTGTCAACCTAGTTGTACACTAGGTTGACTATGTAACATTTTTCGTATAAAAATAGTTGAAAAAACTAAATATAAAGTGCATAAATGTACTTCTTTTGTTCAAACTAAAAATTATGAAAAGATTAATACATATAATACATTAGTAAAATTTAAATAAAATGTACTTTGTCCTTTGTATAAATTTCCATCACTTTAGATATTTATTAAATTTTATAAAGTGCATTGCTCTTTGTTTATTTTTAAAAAAATGTGGTATAATTCATTAGACTATATAAAATAATTATTAAATCTTATTATCTATTATAAAAACATTCTAAAATATTTTAAATTATAAAATCTTATTATATCTACTATAAAAACATTCTAAAATGTTTTGTAGAATTGTTATTTATTAACTATGGTAGTTATATTATAATTAGTGGTCCAATGATTTTAATTCATTTTCACATAAAGTAGGTCGGGTCGGGTTAGACCAGAGTAAAAATCAATTTAATATTCGGTTACCTATTTACCTGACGGGCACTCTATAACTCGATGGATAAAACCCGAAATTCAATAGATGAGCAATGAGTTGGGTTTGGGTAGAGCAAAATATATGCAATCGGGTTTGGGTTTGACTCAACAACACCCAACCTGGCCTGACACTAATAGATCCCTACCAGAGTTTGAATAGGCCTTTGTTGTGTTGCCTCATAAAAATTGGGTTTAATTGTGTTGTTGTTTCAACTTAAGATGCTCAAGATATTGTAGCATATGGAATCGAATGATCATTCTGTTACTCATTTTCAATCTCATGATTGATATATTTTTTAAGAAGAAATAACCATTCAAATTAGAATAACAAAACTCATCTCCATAGAAGTAGCCATTACATAGCATGGTTTTCTCATTCCCATGGCTTTAGGATTCAGTTTTTCCCAAAAAAATAAAATAAAATAACAAATAACAACAAAAAATAAATATAAAATGTATACTATACATCATGATTAAATTATATTAATGAAATTATTTTAAAAAATAAATTTCAAAGAAATAATTAAAAATAATTTTATTTTATTATTAATTCCCATTTAATATATATATATATATATATATATATATATACTTATGCATATATATATATATATATATATAGAGGAGCAACAAATTATTTAATTTTATTACCATACATTAAATTTTATACTTATGCATTAAATTTTATTCTCCCTCCAAAATTTTCATCATTCAATTTCATTTTTAAGTTACAAATTAACTTGCTTGAATGCCATAAATTATGAGCATAAACCAATCAAGAGAGTTACAAATTGTACTCAAATTTGAAGTCACACCCACTCATGAAAATGGCCGGGTATATTAGCATAAAGAAAATGATTGTAACAGCTCTTCCATAGCAATTACTTGATCAAAATCAATTTTGAGAATTATTTTCTTAATTCATATTTTTTTTCATGAATTAAATTATGATTTATTTTTTGTTTTTTTTTTTTTATATTTTTATGTTTTTAAAGTATTCGTCTCTGTGCAAATGCAGAGATTGATTACTAGTTTGAAGATATGTTGGTAATCTAATTAATAGTTAATATATTAGTTGATAGTTTATAAGTGAATTTAAAGCTTGTAGTTGATAGGTTTAGGTTATAACTTATAATTGAGCCTGAAGAATTAATTGGCATGATAAAAAATTAATAAAATTAGTTAATAAGCGGCTGGAATAAAAATTTGAATGAACGTTTTTTATAAAGACATATAATGAAGCTTCTAAACTAAATTTCCTTCTTAAAAAAAACTCATTCTACCAAACAAAACATATTTAAATGCAAACTTATAAACTAACCAAAGTTATTTATATAGAAAAAATATAAAATAATTAAATAAATTATAAGCTATTATCAAACATACTAAATTAAATGAGCCCCATGTAAAGACCCACGTTTATATTATTCTAAAAAAACAAACATTATAAGAGCATCTCCAACCGTGAACATGAATTGTAGTGTGTGTGACAATCAAATAGATGGTCTTCCATCCATGGGAACGAATAGAAGTTCAATACCATAAAAGTCTCCAATAGTTTATTATATCTTCTTGTTATCTATTTATTTTGTATTATAAATAAGGAGAAGAAAATGATTCATACGTCTAGAAGGACGTCTACATATACAAGGACTTCTAGAATTATTGTTTCTCTTTCATGCCACATCATCACCAATAGAAGTGGAAAAATTGCTGCTGGAGAAGTTCTTTTATCATATTGTTTCTACAATTCCACAATTCACATACGGTTGGAGATGCTCTAACGTTGTAATTTTGGTCTCTTTCATTTTCATTTCAGTTGTTGGGATTTTTTGCAAATTGCTAAATTTAAAGAAGTGATTTGCTTACTAGACTAGATGAGAAAGGGAAAGTAATATTGTCTTCACATCATTCAAAACTTAACATATAAACTAGTTGACAGCTCATATGTAAAAAATTCGAGTTTAAAGTTTATTACTTATGATTTATGCATGGCTAAAAAGCTAGATATGATAAAAATGTTTGGTAAAATTAGATTCAAATGAAATAAAAATTCAATGCACATATTTGAAAAGCTACCGAGAAAACTTTATGAGATAAACTCGAACTAAAAAAAAACACTCATCTTATTGAAATTTATCGTTAAAATTTTATTGAAATATATCATAATTGGAATTTCATCGTTGGGATTTCGATGATTTTTTAGGGGTAAAACTTTAAAAGGATTAATTAGATTTAGTATAGTATCATTAATCATAACGAATGACTCACATATACAAAATACAAGAGATCTAATTGGTCAAATAATAATGATGCGTTAGGCGAAACTCAAAAGTCCACTTGAATTAGCTTTACTCACACACATCATTCCAATTGCGTATTCGTCATGAGTTTTTCAATATTATGCAATTTCTTGATATTTAAATATTACTCAATGACTTACTAATACATAACCTCTTGTGGCCATCATTTTATGTTCTTTGTGTACTTAACTCCCTTTTTGTAAGGTTTTCAATGAGGCTCAAGTAGACATGGCCACGGGTCGACCCGGCCCGTCAATCCGGAACGAAACCTATCCCGGACCGGCCCTGAACTGGCCACGTAAGGGTCGGTTCGTCTAACTGGACCACAAGGGCTGCGGTTCGGTCCCGGTTGACCATTTTTTTTTTGTATCGGCGGTCCGGGCCGAGCCGGTCCGGCCCGCGAGCTGGAGGCCGGGCCACAGCTATTTTTTGTATTTTTTTGTATTTTTTTTTAATTGACTCGCGGGCCAGGGAATTGGCGGGACTGGGCCGGTCCGATGACCCGGCCCTAAGCAATCTGTGGTTCGGTCCCGAGCCAAGCTTTTGGGAACTAAATTTGTTGTTCCCTATTCATGTTTCATTTCATGTATTAATTTTATTCGAAAGCCACAAGTACATAATAATAATGATATTATACAAGGAAATGTCGTTCATAGAATATACTATTAAACAATAATTAATTAAGCCACTATTAGATAAATTTAACGGTTAGAGAGTTTTATTTGAAACTTATATGCATAATTTTAAATTTTCACGTACCGTAGAGAACAACATAAACAAAAATTTTATATTTTAATATTTTATAATATAAGTATGTACTTTTTTATAGAAGTATGATAGTTAAACTACCTCACACAATTTAGAAAAAAATGTATACATTAGAGAAGAAAACACAACTTTTTGTTCCAGCCCCTAAGTCCAAAATTAATGAAACCTATGTATCCATTAATTTAGCACATGTAACATAGAAGAAACAAAATGGATGGATCTAACAAGAACCCTATAAGCAAATTTTGACGTAGAAATCCTTAAAACTACAAGAAATTATGTTTGTAATGAAATAAAATAAATAAATAAATAAAATGTATGTGAAAAATATCAAATGCATTTGAACATCTATACTTATATAATAAGAATTAACATTTATCCAAAATAATAGGTCAAATTATGGTCAATGTCGAATTTGCATTAATATTTTTCAAAACTGGTAAGTTTTTGTCTTTTTCACATTTCTCATTAATTATGTCTTTTTCACACTTCTCATTAATTATGTCCTTTTCACACTTGTCATTAATTATGTCATTTTCACACTTCTCATTAATTTTGTCATTTTCACACATCTAATTAATTCATTAATTACGATATAATTATCATAAATCATTCTATACATCTAATTAATTCATTAATTACGATATAATTATCATAAATCATTCTATCTGAGCTTTAATCGTTAAAATGTATAGCGATCTGTTATGACTTTATCCCATTGATATTTCCATATTCATTAATTACGACATAATTATCATAAATCATTCTATGCATCTAATTAATTCATTAATTACGACATAATTATCATAAATCATTCTATCTGAGCTTTAATCGTTAAAATGTATAGCGATCTGTTATGACTTTATCCCATTGATATTTCCATGAAGCGTCCTTATCGCGTTCTACTTTTTGGTAACCACTCTATATCAATAACCGGATATTTGGTTAATGACAGCACACGTCTTTATTTCAATGAGCGGATATTCTTTGACCTTTAATTAATCTGAACTAATTGCCTTGACTTTTCAATTTTTAAAAACTCTTTTTTTTAAGTATTTTGGCTTAAGATTCGGATTTCATTATACAAGTCATCGGATTGTTTGAATGAAAATGAATGAAAAGAACACCAAAAACAGGTAGCTTTATTCATATAATCAATCCTAAAATATTAGTTTGTTCACCAAAAAGAGACAAATCCTAAAATATTAGTTTGTTCACCAATCCTAAAATATTGGTTTTTTCACCAAAAATATTAGTTTGATTTTTAGGATTTGTCTCTTTTGAAAATATTAGTTTGTGATAATGAGGAGTTACCAAATAATCAAACTCATAATATTGTGTACAAGGAGGTTTTTAATAATATATGATTGTTACCGAACTTTTTATGATTCAACAATGTTCCTATATATTTTAATGATTTCAATTTCGATCCTAATGCACGTGAGATTATATTATTCTTTCAAATGTTATATCTCGTGCATCGCACGGGTTACGTACTAGTAAGAAGTTAATACCTCTATATATTAGGAAAAAAGTAAGCTGATACCCCGATTAAATGAACTAGAGACAATTATCTGTGGGAAAAATAAATACACTGAATTTGTAGACTTTTCGAAAAAGATGTGCAAATTCTTACCTAATCAAAATCAAAACAATAAGTTGTTAAATTCATAAAAATAATATGTACATTAATTACACGTACTTCCGAAATTATTTGTTTGACATGGCAGGATTACATACACAATAACAAACCAAAAAGGGGACAACACTTGACAAAAATGGGCCCAAAATAGGCCAACAGAGAGCAAATAGTAAACAATTCAAAAGATAAACAAACTCCGATTGAGCAGAAATTTCATTTATATGATTGTATTGACGAGTTGAGTTCAACGGTAGGTCACTCAATCAAACTAAAGGTCGAACAATGTTGGAAATTTTTTTGAAAAAAATTTGTGTTCGGTTCAGCTTACTGAAAAAACTGAACCGAACATTACTGAATTGCACGATTTGTGTGCGGTTCAGCTTTGCTCACACCTAGTACTGAAGGAGACATAGAGAAAGAGAGGGAGAAAGATATTATTATGTGCATCTGTGTAATAATCCCTGGCTTTTGTTTGCTGGCCTTTTGAGTTAGTTGTGCCTCGAAAAGGAGCTAAGTTCAGAGCAGTGCACGTGTACTAACTCATTCCCCAACATATTCACTGTCTCTTTCTCAGTCAATCACACACCCCACAAAATTATTACAGTCAAACAGTGTAACTTGAAAAAAAAAAAATGTCGGGTGAGAGCCCATACCTATCTGTTTATTGTCATGCACTAATTCCAGATTAATTCCTTAATTAAATCTCATCTCCAAGTTCGAAATCTTAACAGGAATAAGAACAAATTTGCTTTCAATCAGCATATATGCTAATTCTTGCATAGTTAATATTACAACATAAATTAATTAAAGCATAGAATATGAAAAAGAAAGGTGCTTGTTTGTACTTTAATTATGCAAGTATAATTTATTATTTTATGAATTTTTTTTCCAGTAATCAGATTTTTTAACGTTCGATCAACACACCTTGATCTAACCAAAAAAATGCAGTAACCTGTAGGGTGGAACCCTCTATAAAGTAGAGACCTTCAAAGGAACTAAACACTAACAAAAGACAATCAGAAACTAAATCTAATCTAAGTATCTTACCTCTTAGTATATTTCTTGAACAGGAAGTGAGAATTATGCTGCAGAAAAACTGTAAGAAGACAAATTGTTAATTTAGTGATATTTAATTAAAAGAAAAAGAAGAAAATAGATAAAACCACAAAGAATTCATGAATTTGTACATCATCGGTCATCCATCCTTCAATTAATCTATAAATTCACCGGATACCACGACACCATGAACTCAGATTAAACCTTTAAATTAAAACCAAAAAAAGAAGACAAAAGAGAAACTAATTAATCCTTGATGCAAATTATAAATCAAGAGAAAAGAAACACGAAAATTAACCCAAAAACTCAACACAATTAGCACACACAAAACTAGCCAAATCACAAACCATCAGCCCAGATCATTAAACCACAAACCCTAGCTAGCTAGGGCTAGCTCCTACTCAAATTTTAAAAACCCGGCCCGCGGCCCGGCCCACCACCCCAGTATCCCTCTCCCGGCATCATACCCTGCGGCCCCCCCTGAAACGGATCCCCCATCGGAACTCCTCCCGACCCTCCGGGCGGCGGCTGCACCTCCTCCTCCTCCAGCGGCAGCCGCTCGTAAGCCGCGTTCCCGAACGACGCCGCCATGATGACCACCGGGCCCGACGCCAGCAACGGGCCCACGACCGCCCCTCCCACCACCTGCCCCTGAGCTCCGGCGAGGTACACGCTAAGCCCCGAGGCCGCCGGCGGCGCCGGCGGCGGGAGGAAGGAGCCGGAGAGGGAGAGGATCTCGAACCGGCCCTGGAGGGCGAGGGCCGGGCCGTGGCCCGAGGGCCCGCGAAGGGTGACGTTGGCGACTGTGCCGGAGGCGCTGAGGATGCAGACGCCGCGCTGGCGGCGGCCGGCGAAGGCGGAGATGCTCTCGCGGACGTCGCAGCCGTCGGCCACCTCCATGACGTGGGAGCGGAGGGCGTTGGCGCTGTCGCGGGTGATGATGATGGGGGGCTTCGGCTTGTTCTTGGAGCCGGCGGGGCGGCCGCGGGGGCGGCGGGCGGAGGAGGGGTCGCCGGAGCCACCGCCGCCGCTGTCGGCCTCTCGGTCGCCGGAGCCGCCGCTGTTGTGGTCGTCGTCGGTGGGGTTCTGTGGCGGCGGCAGCTGGTGGTTGTGGTGGAATTGGTGGTGGAGTTGGAGGTCGTGGGCGTGGAAGGGCGGAGGGAGTGGCCGGCCGCCGCCGTGGGTTGACAGCTGATCCATATATGTATTGGTTTTTTCTTTTTCTTCTTTTTTTTTTCAGGGAGATGGGATTAGGGTTTGAAGCGAGATTTGTGTTGTCTTCATGTGAACTCCGGTAAGAAAGTTAGAGAGAGAGAGAGGGAGAGAGTTTTGGTGGGTTAAATAATAAAGTAATTTGGTTTGAGGATTTTTTGGCGTTTTTGTAGGGGATTTAGGGTTAGGTCAATAGAAAGAGGATGGATGGATCGGTGGAGGGAACAAGTTGGTGATAATTTGACAGCGTGCGCATGAGAGCCGCGCATGGGCGGTGGGGGGTGGGGCCCGCTTTCTCTCTCCTCTGTCGCTTTAGAGCCCTCATCGGTAAGGAAGTGTGTGAGCGAAAAATTGAGAGACTTCTTTAATTTTTTGATTGATTAATTAATTGATCTAGCTAGGTTTACTCAATGTTGGCACCACTTAGGATCAAATTTTATGATGCACAGCACATGCCTGGATTAATCAGTGCAACTTTATTGGCTTTAATGAATGTACTTTGCTTGATTCTAATTTCTAATCCATAAATACAAAATAAGAAATGTATATATATATATATATATAGTAAGTTATGAGTTGTATTATAATTTAAAAGTAGATCGACATGACCCAAACCCAATTGGTTAAGGATGTATAAATCATTGAATCGAAACCGATTTTGGTGCACGGATGGCGGTTCTGATTCCATTTTGGACTCGGAGGTTCTTAATCGAGACAGTCAACCCATCAGGACCCTCAAGTTGAGTAGAATTTTTTGTCATTGATCTTGCAACAACTACAAATAGATTATAGTAACTACTGAGATTACATGTCTGGACTCGCCGAATCAAAAATGTTTTTATGCTTGAATTGAAATCGTCTCATGTAATCTACAGGCTTGGTTTCAGTTCTTGTCCGTATCCCAAGTCAATTGGTTTGGTTCGGCTGAACAACGATTTTGATGTTTTAAATCTGGCCCAATATCCACATCTACTTATAATTAGTAATATTGATATTCAGTTTTCATTCTCTTTTTTTTAAGAAAAAAGAGGATCAATAGTTGTTCCACACTTACCCTGTATGACTCGTACTCGATATCTATTGGTCCCAAATAAAAAGTGTTATACCAATGCTACCCATTATCGTACCATGTATGACTCAGTCGAGACCTATTAATTAATCTCAAATTAATTAGAGTGCTACCAACTGAGTTACCTATTCTCGTCAGATTCTCTTAATCAATAACAGTTTTGTAATCCTTTAAGTTAAATCACTATGATGATAACATTCACCATATTTTCAATTTTGTTAGGATAATTTCTATCAAGACAATTTTTCGTGTGGAAATTTTCAAAATTGGCCATTTCAGGATTTCGTTTGTAAATCTAATAAACTTCGAATAGAATATTAATATGAAATGTCACAACTTTTCCCATTAAATTTCCATTGAAGTTCGGATTTCCAAACAAAATTACAAGAAAAATATTGATCAACTTGAAGGTATATATTTAGCTAAAATTTGGATCTTCGGTCATAATTATGGTCAAATTAATTAATTATAAAAGTTGTAAAATTAATAATTGAATCACTTTTCATACACCAGCTACCTTTGAATATATTTTATATATCATAATTATTTTTGCTTTGCCCGACTTTTTTTTTTTTAAATAAAGAATACACAATATGCTTACTGAAACCCACATATGTATTATTATATGTTTCATATGACCAATTTCTCCTTATTTTGCCTCATCTATTCTCTTTTATCTCTTTTTTATTCATAAAGTTGTTGTAACTTGTAAAGGACAATCAACAAGCTAGTCCCATCACATTTGGCCTGTTTCAACATTAATAACAGTAGATCATTGGTTTA